AGATCCCCTGGTCACAGTGATGAAGGTGGAAAAGGCACCCCAGGAAACCTATGCTGATATTGGGGGCTTAGACAACCAAATCCAAGAAATTAAGGTATGACTGGGAACCGTCTCTGGGATGTTAGACTTTTGGTTTCTATTGCTGTCCTGTTTAGGGTACTTTGGAGTTGTTTTGCTTTTTTTTTTTTTTAACTGATCAGACCAATAGCTGACTCATCAGGGCTTGCCAGTTTTGTGGTATTTTTGTATTTGTTAATACTGAGTTAGTTAACAGAAATAATAACTTGTATGATTGTTCCTGCAGCAGCTGCAGCTTAATACCTTTTATAGATGTTTAATGTACAGTCTATGAATACATAATCTTTCCAGTTGTGTTGTAGGTATCCGTAAACCTCCAGTGGTTTATGGAGCAGTATGTGTACCTGTACATGCTTACACAGTGGTGGGATCTAGAGCATAATCCCAGCCCCTGTGTGTTCCTGGCGGCTGTGGACCAGCTCTCTGCATGTTCTTTGATTCATAGGGAAGTCATTCAGAGCTATCATAGGTCTCCCTGGTGATCTAGGAAGATAGGAAATAGCTATACTGTCCTCAGGTGGGAACTACAGTCAGAATATTTTCTGTAGCTTAACTGAAAAGGGTGACTTAGCTGTCCTAAGTCTCTTTTGATCAAAAAGAGCTTAAATATTGATCAAGGCTGACATCTACTGCAAAGTAAAAAGGAAATTGGATGCAGTTAGGAAGAGGGGAGTGGTGCTGGGAATTCATGTAGGACAAGTATCCTCTTCACTATGGCCTTTCTGCTAATAGAGGTCAAACACATTGTCTTTAAGAAGAGTAATTGGGATTTTTGCTTATTGTTGTTGAAAGCAAGATATTCTCATGATGCCAATTAATCTAGTAATGTTAATAAGAAAGTCTTTCAAGTTCACTGAGTGTTTGTTTTCTGTAGGAATCTGTGGAGCTTCCTCTCACCCATCCTGAGTATTATGAAGAGATGGGTATAAAGCCCCCTAAAGGGGTCATTCTCTATGGTCCACCTGGCACAGGTATGCTCTGTTTGACAGTTTGTAGGCACACAGCTTGTCTCTTAAGCAGCAGCATTGGGTAGCTACAGTGTTGAGTGAAGACACCACAGCTTCTCAGTTTAAAACAGGAGGGCTCAACTTTGGCTATATGTTGGAATTATCTAAGGAGCTTTAAAAAGTAATGATGCCTGGTCTCATCCCCCAAAATTCTGATAATATTTATCTGGAGTGTGGCAAAGCCTCAGGTCCATGGTAGAGAACTGCTTTAAAAGCTCTGTTCTATGGTGGCTGGATCAGGTTTATTTTCCTGGCCCAGTGGTACTGAATATGTTGGATGAGTAAACAATGAAGATAAACGTGTGTGTTTGTGT